CGCGCTTCTGTGGGACACTCCATGCTCCCCAGCATCGCAGCATTCGTGAACCATCTGGTACCTAGAGGTATGTAGAAAAAACTTTTAAAGCTGTGTCTACGTCTGAATCGCCGAACCCTTCCGAATCTCTCTGAATCGATTTGGAGGGTTCTGATTCGATTTGGAGAGGTTAAAGGGTCCTCTGATTTGATCTGGATTCAGAGATTTGGCCACCAAATTGGGCTGAATCAAATCAGGGACTGATGGGGAGTGCAGTGGGGGCCCCCCCTGCTCGGTGGCTGGTGCCTCCTGGGTCTAGCAGGGCACAGGCTTTGCACAACCCTATCACAGAGTATTGGTATTACGTAAAAGGTAAAAGTTACAAACCATTGCTGCATGCAGGATTATCAAGTTTAAAAGTTATGAGCAGATTAAGACTAGAATTCAGGTCAACACGGATCTTTAAAATAGTCTGAAAAAAAAAGCTCTGGTAGCTTGGTAGGCCCTTGCTTGCAAGTGCAGTCAGTTCAATGAACAAGCACAAACCCACGGGAGCCAGTCTCACCTTACAGCTTTCTTGCCACCTGGCAACCCCGGATTTGGTTACTGCTTAAGCTTGCAGGCAGGAGGGGTTCAAACTACACGTATTTCTAAAAGAGTTTTCCGTTCTCTAGGGTGCCAACTGAAAATGATGGTTCAAGTATGACACGCTTACGTTTGGTAAATAAGTGCTGTAGAGATAAGTGACAAAGAAGAGCTGGGGAGAGATAGAGGTAATTTTACTTCATAGTTTTACAGAGCTAATCTCAACTACCTATTACCTGGTTAGGTGTAACACATATCACAAGAGCCTCTTCTAGTAGAAACCAAGAAAAGCAATGTCTCTGTCAGGATTTACCAATGTCAAGAAATAGGTGCAGTTATTATAATTGTATTAACACAGCACTTTTCTACGCGTAAAATAGGACATCTGGCTAATGAGAACACATGCCTTTGGAAATGAAGAAAAAAAAATTACAACATATTTTAGTGGCTCAAAGCAGAGAAAATGATGGAAAAAGTTCCCTCATGTTTAATTAACCTCCTCTTGCTGCAACAAGAGCACCAAACAGCTCTGGTGTCACTGATAGTCTAACACCAGGAGGAAAAAAAAAACCCCCCAAAGAACAAACATTGATACAAGAGTGAAATACAACAAGACTCAACCTTTCCTGACAACTTGCAGGAGCACGGAAAGTGGTTGACAAAGAAGGTTTGGCTGGGTTATCTACAGCAGGCAGGCAAATTTGAATTTCATTTTCTTTTTTTCACTATTCACGGAGGCAGATAACTCAGTTTAAAAGAGTAACACCGTTAGAGCCAGATTTTAATCTCTAGGGCACGCATTGTGATAGAACATTTCACTGAGCAGTGCTGCAAGTAAGTGACAAGTCAGATTTTCCATATCAAATACTCTGGAGTGTTCCTTTCTTCAGATGTGAACCTTTGACCCGCTAAAAACAACTCAAGAAGCTGTGCCAACATTACAGCTATATTTCAGTCCCGATATAATATTTCCAAGGTTTTAGAAAAGAAAAATGATTAAAGGAAAACACTCTTGTTCCATTTTAGCTACTAGTATAAAGTATTTATAGGAAAGCTGCTTTCCCTATAAAAGTTTGCGTGTTATCTGAAAATCAGAGGCTGGTTTCAGCAGCTAAGTTTCGAAAACATGCTGTATTTTTGCATTTCCTGGTCCTTCAAATGACAATAGTCAGGATGAAAAAAAGAGAATATTTTATTATCTTTAAAATAAGAAGTGGTCATGGGTGACAGACTGACAGCTCTGGAGAAAGAAGTCCTCTATATTGCAGAAGATACATAAGCACAAGCAACATGCTTCCCATTCAATTTGTCTTTTCTTCATCCCAATTTAGCAAATACTTTTGGGCTCTGCAACACTCCATTTCGTTAGTGTTTTTACTATTTGTCAAAAAAAAAAAAAACATTTTCCCCCAGCTCTGGAGTTCAGGCCATCTCCCTGGGAGCTCTAAAGAATAAGTGTGCTCAGTGTCAATCAAGGAAATGAAATGTTGGTTCATTTTTTTAACACTTCCAAGAACAAAAGGATTTTAAGAAGCTGTGAAAGATGTTGCATCTGGAGAAAGGTTTGCAGGGACCCTGAAAACCGTGTGGCTTGAATAGCAGAGCGGTGTGCTTGTTTGTGCCCGTGTATTCTGCTGGTTGCCCGCCTCCAAAATGAAACGAAGCAAAAGCAGTAGCCTACATAGCCAGCACTTGTGCTTGTAAGGAACTCAGCTTAATTCTCCCCTCTCTCCAGAATGAGCAACTCTAATGTAAGTTGGAGCAGCTCAAACTTTGCCACTGGAAACTCAACTCATTTCTTTAAGGCTGATGAAATCTTAAGTTGGGGCTGAGTTTGCAATAGATGATCAAAGATTTGCAGGTACTTCTATTAGGATTAGAGGCACCAATACTAACTTAATAGCAGGCCCCTACCACTGACATTTTTCATCCATAGTATCCTTGAATCAATGTCTGTGATTTGAGTGTAACAAGCTCAGATATAGAAAACCTTTGGGGTGGGAAGGATTCGTTAGGGCAACTTTTTTTAGTCTGTGTAATGCTATCGCCCCCGCCCCACTCTGCCTGAAAATTCCCTTTAACCAGAAAAAAGAAAAAATAACTGATTAATAAAGCTCGCTGGAAATTAAAATTCTTATGAAGGGTAGCACAACTCTCATAATAAATCACAGACTGTAGCAACCAACCTGCCTCATAGGAGCATTAGGTTTCGGCCATTTGTACGCAAAGGCAAATAAATTGCTTTGCAATTGCTTTCTATATATGTTACCATGCCAATGCCTTTTTCACAATGCCTTTTTTCATTTCACCCCACCTCTCAGTCCCAATCAATATGACCTATTCAGAAAGATTTTATTTTATACAAAAATCACACTTTTTCAGCAGGACGGTTTGCAAAGTAAAATAATTTAAGAAACTTTCAAACCAATGACATCTTAACAAAACATTTATTGCATATTGCTTTGGTGACAGTAAAATACAGAAAAGTAGCAGATAATTTGCTTACCATAAAACGTCAGCTGTCCACGTGCCACATTCTTCCCTCTCACATTTTCAGCCATGCACTCGTATGGACCAGCATCTTCCTGCTGAAAATTTAGGATTTCAAGAACTCCGCTGGATTTGTGTCTCCTGGCTTTCCTGGGTATTTGCTTTCCATCTGCTCTTCTCCAACTAATAGTTGGAACTGGACTAATAATAAGAATAAAGTAAAAGAGCTTCACAGTAAAAGCTGTGTCCTTTCACTGGATTAACTCATATTTAGAAAAGTGGAAAGACAGCAGTAGGTCTATTTCTCCAAAAGCTTTTACATAAAAAAAAATCTGATCATATTTTATAAGGAACACAAACTACAGACAGAAGACCCAGACCTCAGATAAAACATGCACATCCCACACTGATGAAACAGGACTTGAGCCTTGATCTATCAGTTGCCAAAACACAGGTCTTTACCAAATTACATGAACAGGAGGTCCCACAGCTAGCTACAACAGTAGGTCCTTTATCCTCTCCACAGACACTACATTTTTCATAAGCACACACACACAGTAAATAATATGTGCAGTTCAGTGTTTTGGTTCCCTGTTCCCAAGGAAAATAATTTTTTTCTTTGGATTCCATGCTTCCTTGGCCCAAGTCTACTCGTACCAAAATTGAGGGGTTAGGTACAGACATTCAAAACGCCCAAGGTGGTATAGTTTAGATCGGTAGCAAACAGAAACAGATTTGCCTTTTGGAGAGGGGCAACAAAACTTAGACCAGGTTCTGCCAATTTTAAACCAGTCTATGTGTGCTGAACTTCTGTTCTGTTATGGGTACAGACTGGTTTTTCATCACTAATAATGGTAAAAGTGTAATGTCTGTACCTGGCCAGGGAGAGTAAGTCTTGGCCATATGGGCATGGTGATGGTCTTTGGGGTATAGTGGGCTCATCCAGCACCTGGGGCAGTGCAGGGGGAGTGCAAGATTAGGCTGACTCCTGGGTGAGAAGGGCAGTTCTTACCTGCCTGTGCTTTCTGCATATGGAAAGCAGCTTCTGCCACCGCTGCTGCTATGGCAGTGCCAGTCCCAGCAGTAGCAGCTCCGTTCACTCCCCTGCGCCTCAGATAGGCTTATAGGGCTGTGGCTACTATAGCAAAAGGTCCCAGGGGAGAGCACCAATTTGCTCATCTCACTCGACCCTCACCCTGGGTATGGGGCTGTGGTACCCGGCGTCTATGGCAAGGGCTCCGAGGAGGGGTGGAGGGAAGGGGGAGATCTGGTTCCCCCTCAAAGTTGGAGCAGGCAGCTTGCCAATTATGATACTGCTGGCCTTACTACAAGAACCATTCATCTGATAAATTGCCTCTTTCATAGAGTATGACAATGATGATGGTCATAACCTCTCTTTCCATAGTGTGAAGGCTCTCCAGGACCTGGAGCAGTCTTATTGTTGATGGCATGATTTCTTGATAATCAGTTGATCAACCATCAGAAGAAAGCCCATCATTAGCATTGTCTATACAAACCTGGTAAGCTGCAAACCTTGCATTTGAAACACAATTTACTACCGAGTTGCTTTCTTGACACTTACAGTTCCAGCAACTCCACTTTTCCCCTTAAACTATATAGTTATCTTTATCCTCTTCCCAGACTAGTCATAGAAACTACATTTTTCATAAGTGTAACATATATGCAGTAAATTATATGTGTGGCAATAAAGAGATTTTTCATATGTAAAACATGCACACGGTAAATTTTGTGTGGCTATATATAGAGACCACAGGCGCCCAGCATTTGGAAACTGTGATCTATTTCAGGGTCCCACATATGATCCTAGGGAGAAAATACACCTGGATGCAACTTGAAAAATTAAATTTTATCTTTCTTCCCTTTGGCAATAGCATTTGGGGTAGCTGGGTAAGCCAAACTCCCCCCCCCCCACTTTTGCAGAGAAAGGAATTTAGCAAATACAGTAAATACAACAAGAGAATAAAAATCCCCCAAACTCAAATAGACAGGACTATAACACCCATTCAGGCTATGGTAATAATAATGGATAAACACTTACTTTCCCAAGGCAAAGCATTCCAGTTTCACAGTTGTTCCTTTTGCAGATGAAACTGTTTCTGGAAACTGCACTTCTATTTTTGGCTCATATTCACCCATCACCCCTGCGAACATATAATATGTGCTAAAGCTTGGTTGAATTTTGCAATAAATTCTCAAGTGTTGCTGTGCTAATGCAGAGCTGCTCTATACATCATTACTTGCCCAATTAATCCATTCATTTAAAACAGGGCCCATCTTTAACAGCCGTGTAAGTATGGGCTCCTTTCCCATTTACTGCTGGAGGAAAATCTGCATCTCAGCTCCATACCATCTGCCAAAGATTAGCATTTCTTCATGGCTCTGTTACTTTTTGCTTTTGAATATTCAGTTATTTTGCAGGTAACTTGTAAAAGAAGGGAAGCCATGAGAATGTAGGATTCACTCTTGTTTGAAAAATGGGTGAAACAAATCCATGAAAGAAAAAAAAATGAAGAGTGCTGGGGCTGAAGCAAGGCTCCCATTTAACTTCACAGATTTAGCTGCTCAGAGATCATATAGTGAGGGTATGGGTAATTTTTTAAAATCTTTTACTGCCCTAGTAAATCATGCATTGTGGCAGTCTTTTGTGAAATTGTGTTAAAACTTAAGTGTGCATAAAAAAGCCATTATATTTGTGATAAATTGCTACATGTCTATGGAGTGCATCATCTTAAATCGGATGCATATAATTTCACTGATTGTGATTATAAACTAATTGATGATCAATCTGAATGGGTTCCTTGGTGGACCACCATCCAAAAGGGGAGGATGTTCAGAAACAGGGATCCATCCAGCAGTCCTGGGAAGAGGGAAGAACACCTGACCAAGAAAAATGAGTGCTATCAATATGCAGCAACTCAGAAATTGGGCACCATGGATTCATACCAACGTCATTCTCACAAGTGAAGCAAATGTGTCTGAAGCAGCTCCGATGACCCTTGCTTGCTGTATTGCTGTGCGCATCTCTGCTTTCTCAAAAGTGCTGCATGACACAAGTTTAGAGATAGCAAGGAAAAGCAAAAAAGTCCCTTTAGCTATGCTTTTTCACAGTGGGATGGTTTTATAGCTAAAGTGCCCACTATGAGTAGGTTTTAAGGCTAACATCAAATCCATTTTTATTTTCTGACCTGTGTATTACCTGTTTTGATACAATAACAGGTTATATCACCTTCCTTCAACCCATTTGTTTCAAATAAGCACTGCTGTTACGTTAGATATAAAGAGCACCTGCCACATAAAATCAGCCAGCTGAACAAAATATGTTTGTTAAAGATACTAATACTTTTTTTTTTTGGTAGTCAGCTCTGTGCATCAAGGAACTCACAATGTCACTATCCAAGGAGGCATTACAAGAGGATGCCCAAAGAAAATTATTAGGCCTAGTACTCTTCAGCACTTTGAACTGTTGAGATATCGGCTGGGATGGTAGCTGTTGCTATTATTAATGTTACCCAATACGTCTCATTGTAAGCCTGTTTTCAGTTTCTTAAAAAGTAGCCAAACTAATCATTCCAGGGGAAATTTTCCACGATAGGTGTCTAAGATGCTCTAAATCCTATAACCAGACCAGTGAGGTAAGAAGAAAGTATTGAATCACAATTTTCCCCTCAGACAGTGCACGTACATATTTCCTAGGGCTGTGCGAAGCTTCGGGTGCTGATTTGATTCGGAGGAGACTCAGTCCGATTCTGTGGCCGAATCTCCAAATCCGAATCGAATCGGGATCAACAAACAGGTCTGAATCAATTTGAAGCTCTGAATCTTTTCCAAAGATAATGGAGAGAGCTTTGAGGATTCGGGCAGTCCCTGCCTGCTGCAGCGTGGAGCTGGACTCCATGCCGGTAAGTAGGGGGCAGGAGAGGAGGGGGGAAGGGACCGTGGGGGGACCCTCACCAGGCCCCATCCCCTGCTCGCTCCCCCCGACCCATGGCTGCCCTGCCCACCCCAGCTCCTGGTGCTTTAAACCCCCCCACCCCCGCTCACTGGGTGCTGCCAGGCCGGGCGTTGCTCCCCACTGCCCTATGCTGTGGGGGGTGCTCTGCACAAGCCCCCTGACCCCTCCCTTGCTCCC